TTCTCCAATGAAGCATATTCTTAGCATAAGTATATTCTCCCCTCCTAGCATAAAGTCTCCTTGTAGGTTGGGTTTTATTTGGTCACTAATGAAGGTCGCTGGGGATGGTCCAAGGTACGTCTTTGTTCACCCTCTGCCATGGCATTGTGCTGCCCAGGGGAAGGAGTGCCCGTTCCCTCCTCTTCTGGTGCCTGTGGTACACGTCCTCCTGGGCAGTGGAGCAAAGGAGTTGCTCAACTTCTGTGAGCTTTAATGGTGCAAGTTCCTGTGGGTGGGAACTCCCTCCTCTGTGCACCACATAGGCACGGCCCTGCGTGGGGGACCGCAGGATTTCTACAGCAACGAATTATCACTTCAGATAGCAGAGATAACAAGGCCAAGTGAAAGGTCCTGCCCCTGGGTTTATTAGGGCAGTCCCAAGCATAGCTACAGGCTGGGGGAGACTGGATGGAGCAGCCCTGAGGAGGACTTGGGGGTGTTGGGTGAGGAGAAGCTCCCCATGACCTGGCTTCAGTGAGCGCTTGAGCCCAGACCCCCCGTGTGCCGGGCTGCACCCCCAGAGTGTGAGCAGCAGCTCAGGGAGGGGATCCTGCCCCTCTGCTGTGCTCTGGGGAGACCCCCCCTGCAGCCCTGATCCAGCTCTGGGGCAGCAGCACAAGAGGGACCTGGAGCTGTTGGAGCGAGTGCAGAGGAGGCCATGGGGATGCTGTGAGGGCTGGAGCAGCTCTGCTCTGGAGCCAGGCTGAGAGAGCTGGGCTGGGGCAGCCTGGAGAAGAGAACCAGGAAGACCTCAGAGCAGTCTGTGATTTTATGATGCCTAATTCCTTACCTGCCCAAATCCTTTTATTTAGAATCATCTTGATGTATAGCTGTAGCCAAGACAGCTTTGTTGTGCCTCCCTTCAGCAAAGTGTCACCCACAGACGGCATAATTGTTGGAAGTGGAAAGAATGGAATTACCTACAGAATGAATACAGATACAGTGGTGAGGGATGGGGCTGAGTGCAGTGTTCTACTCAGGCCTTAGTGGAAAAAAAGAGTAAAATTAGTAAAGCATTAAAGTGAGGTGGTAAAAGATGAAAAATAAAACAAAATGGAAGAGAAAGGATGGAGACAGCTACTTTTGGCTAGAACACTGGCCAAAGCAACCAGTAGGGAGTTCTGAGGAAGGAAACTGCTCTGCATTTCATAAGATGACCATTCTTGAGAAACAGGATGGTGTGTAAAGACATATCTGAGCTTACCATTAGGTTTATCAGAGCAGAAACAGCCCACGAAGGCTGAGGTTGGCTGTTTGGCTCATGAGAGTGAAGCATATAAAGGTTACTGGTTGGTAATGGGGGCAGGAAGGTACCCAAGAAGCATTTAGGTTTTGCTGTTTCCAGCGGTGCCAGGTGCAGATTGGTCAGGGATTGCATGCCACCTGCAGGGTGGGCACAGGGGCTGGCCTCTGCACTACAGAGACCTGAGGGACCAGGGTGGGATGATCCAAAACTGTCAGCCTCCACCACGACCACCAGCAGATTTTACATGTAACCTTACTGAATACAGCCAATAACTCAGATGACTGCAGCCCAAAGAATACCCTGCCACATCAGAAACTCCTTTTCTTTCTGTAAGAAACCAACTAGTAGCTTGACAGCTGTGTCATGAACAGTAGGAGAGGTTTGGTCAGGACTTGTGGGGTCTTTAGGGTCAGTTCTCAGCTGTTGGTGGAACCACATCAGGGTAAGGCAGCTCTGGGAAGGATGACCCAGAGCCTCAGGACTTTGTGCTGCTGGAAGCTTGGGTGTTCTCATGTTTCAGTCCAGACTGACTCTTCATGGCCATCGGATACTTGTTTTCTCTTACATTAACATCACCCTTGCTCTTAAGGGAGATGTGTTTACTGCTGTGTTTACTCCCTGAAGTTTCATAGAGAATAACTGTATCCCTCCTCAGCATTCAGGTGGTTTTTTGGGTTTGTTTTTTTTCCTAAACAAATAATTTCAAGATCCTTACATATTAAAAAATCAGGGTTACCCTGTAATTATTCTGCAGTCACATTTGCAGTTGGTCTCCCTTGATTACAAGTGAGCAGAGCTGCATACAGAATTCCAGAGAAGGTTACAGCAGAGCTCTGTAGAGTGGTATTAAAGTTTTCCCCTTCTGGAAATACCTCAGTTGATAAGTGCTTTTCATCAGGGCTGCTTCATGTTGGCAGTTTGCAGGCAACAAATACACCCAGATTTTTCTCTTCTTCTGTCATTTCCAATTGATGAGCTCCCAGCTTGCTGCAGAGATTCTTCTTAGTAATTCCCAAGTGTATGACCTTGGACTTTCACTATTAAATTTCATCCCATTTCCAAACGTGCCAGCTCTCAATATTATCCAACTCTTCCAGCAACATGGATATTCTCCCTGCACTGCCACTGCCTCCCAACTTTGTGTCATCAGCAAACGCCTCCAGCTCACTCCTTCCTTTTGTTCCAAGGCCTGCCTGAACAATCTTGTGCAGGATCAGGAGAGCACGGCCTGCTGGTCACTGTAGCCAGCACTGAGAGCTGCAGCTCACGGAGGGCATCATAGCCCAGGCACCTTCTGCTCTCTCTTCCCTTTGCAGTCCGCAGGTGGTGACTGTTTGAGGTGCTCTCCATTAATTTACTAGATCCAGTTTTGAACCTGCTGACAGTCTCCAAGTCATTTCTTAAGGAGCTCAGCTCCACCCTCACCGTCTGCCTTTCCACCCAAACCATGGCCATCTGCCTGCAGCCAGCTTCTCACCTACCCAACAGCTCCCCAGAAGAGCCATACATTTGCCATGTGGCATTGGTTTTAGTATCTTACTAAATCCAGTTAGATTAAACCTATTATCTATCCATTGTCTAGAAAACAATTATCAAAGGTAAAATCTTAAATTCAGCCTATCTTCAGTGAAGCTGTGTTGCATTTTTACCTTATTCCCATTTACTTGTCTGTCCCAAACTACTTTTTCCTTTATGTTTTTTTTTTTTCTAAGCTTTTAATGTTCTGGAGGTCTGACTAACAGGTCCCTAAATGACTGGCTTGCTTCTCCTCCTGCTGCTTAAAACCACTGAGTGCTTCAGTTGCTCCTCAGTAATTCATTCCCAACTCACAAATTAAAAACTTTGTCCTGGATGAGTGAGGATACATTCCAGGTCTGCAGGCCTGGGAACACCTTGTTCCTCGAGCTGCATGTCAGGTTCCCCCATTGGGTACAGTAATTTCCATTTCCATAAAATAATTCTCATCAGCTATCATTCTCTGCCCCGAACAACATGGAAAATAGAGGGAAAAGTCATTTAACACAGGGCTGTATCTAAAAAAAGACTGGAACAGAAGAAATGGAGAGACTCCGAACCCAAGTCTGGAAAGCCTCCATGTGGTGTGTTTAACTGTATTGTAGAAGCAGTGCCAAGAAGACAAGGGGTGTCACTGAAATGAGAGCTGGAAGTGCCTGGCTTTTCCAGTCACAGTGATGGCACCCCAGCTAGTTGCCCCTCTTTAAAGAGCAGAAGGAGCAACCAGCAGGTTCTGGGTGTCCAGGAGTCAGCTCCCTGAAGTAGGTCACATTTGATCTCCTTCCAGACCCAATGCAAAAGGCAACCATTTAGCAGTGACCTTTCAAAACTCATACTCTGCTTCCTAATGCTGTCAACACACATCCTTGTCAGGTACAGCTATACCGCCTGCTTTTGGTTGTAAACAGGCCAGGAATCCTGTTTTCCCCTTCAGTTACCTGTATTTCGTCCAAAGTTCCTCTGAAGGTACATATTGACATTCAGATCACATTTGCATTCCCATGATGGCTTGTTGTTGGAAAAAATCCCATTATAGGGGCTGGGTAACTTCCTTTCAGGTGTTTACTGTCCCTGACCAAGGGATAGAAAGTAGAAAACAACTCACTGCCTGGCATATATCTGAGTTTAAAGGCACGGGATCCTGTGTTTTGTATTGTTCTCTCGGAACATTAATGCTGCTTCTAGCTGAAACATGACTTAATGACAGACTGAAGTCCATCTGTTACAATGACTAGCCTTGGACTCAGAGGGAGAATCCTGTGGATAATGTAGGAGTGCATTTTATAGTTCCTTGCAAGCAAGCATTTCATTTCAGATCAAGATGAACGCGAGGAGCAGGTGGAAATACCTCTCAAAAGCACGACCTGACCTACATACAGCACTGTAAATTGGAGATATGTACAAAGCACTCATGACCCATCACAGTCACAACAAAACCCACCTGCAAACCTTGCTGCTGGAAAGGAACTCCTTTGCACCAGCTTCGGTTTGGGAGCTGCCAACTGTACCCCGCTGCCATTTGCTCTTCAGCTTTCCTGTGCCTTTCTGTTCCTTAAGGGTCATATCCCTTTGCTTTATCACTTGGCTCTCCGTTTCCATGTGGGTTTTGGCTCGTGTGCCTCCTGTTGGCTCCCTGCTCCCCATTACCTCATGCTCCAGGAGCTGCGGGCTGCGCGGGGTGGCTTGGGCAGTGTCTGCCGATGGCACGGGGCCTCCCATGTTCTTACAGCTGAGCTGAATGTCACAAAGGCGAAGAGGGCCACAAGACCTTGTGCACAAAGTGGCTTTTACCGACAGACAGAGACCTGAGGAGGACCCCGGGGGGCACCCAGCTCCAGCCCGCCTCTACCTGTACCTGCCTCACAGCTCGGCCGAGGCGCCCGCAAACCTCCTCCGGCACCGTCCGTACGGGGATCAGCCCCAGCTGACGGGGGGAGAACCACCCCGCAGGGTTACAAAGGGAGGAAGCGGGGAGCCAGCTTTACCTGCGGAGGGGCTGCGGAGAGCCCCTCCGGGGGGGGGGGGGTTGTGTGAGGAGCCGGGGTGCGCTGAGGCGAGCGGTGCTGCCGCCATGGGCTCCCCTCAGCGCTGAGGGGATGGGGGGGGCAGAGCCGGCTCCCTCAGGGCGGTGGCTGCGCCGCGGGAGGCGGGAACGGGGCGCGCCCGGCCCCGCCCCTCGGAGGAGGAGGAGGAGGAGGGCGCGCGCCTGTCCCCGCCGTGCCCGCGTCCCGTGCGGCCGCCATGTTGTTGTGGCTGTGAGCGGCGGCGCAGGCGGCCCAGGAGCGCAGCGACCCCGGCCCAGGCAGGAGGCCGCGCCCCGGGACGGGGCTGTGGGGGCTCCGCGCCATGCCCTGCCCCGCGGTAAGGAGCTGCCGGGGGTGTCCGGCCTTGCTGTGCTGTCTTCTAGGGCGGTGGGTGGGTGGGCCGGCCCGCCTGCTGGGCCCGGGCCTGGAGGAGGGCGGCCGGGCTGTCAGCTGCGGGGCCGCGGCCCGGCACGCCCCCTCGGGGTGAGGGGCGCCGGCTCCGGCTGCTCCGCTCTGCTCCGCTGTGTTGTGTTGTGCTGTGCTTTGCTCGGGCTGAGGCGCTCGCCAGGCGCCGCGGCCGGGGGTGACGGCGGCCTTCTCCTCCTCCTCCTCAGCGGGCAGGCAGCGCGGCCGTCCCGGGCGGCGGCTGTGGCAGCGCGTTCCTCCGCCGCGGGGCTCGGGCGGCGCGGCCGGGGGAGCTGGGCTCCGGCCTGCGGGCCTCGCTGCCCGACCCGCGGCGTGTGGCTGAGCTGGGGGATCGCCTCATGCCGTTGGCAGCCGTGCCTCGCTTCTGCTGCTTTGGTCGTGGTATCGGTTGTGTTCAACTTCCCTTGTGCGCGGGGCCAAAATTCCCCTTCCTTTTATAAGCGGGGCTTGTTAAGGCTTTTTATTTGTGTAGTTTTGGGCTTTAATTGTGCCTCTTCCCCATGTTCCTCTTAACAGTCCTGTTCTCTTGGTGGGATCTGAGCAGATGTTGCCCTTCTCTGGTGAGTAGTGTTTTGTCCCCTCCGTGTTCCATTCCCCCCAACGTGGTGTTCAGCTTGTAGCCTTGAAGCTGTTCCCTTTTCTGTTAATCGTTTTAGGGATTGTTGCTTTATCACCAGATGAGACCCCATGTTCCTTCTCATCTCTCTGCACAGGAAGCTGTTTTCTTTCCATTCCACACACCATTCCCTCACTGGGGGGAAGGCTGAGTAGGAGCTTGTAACTCCTGCAGGCTTCACGCCTGACAAGCAGTCTCCTGTGTGCTTTGCCTGTTTGTTTTGTCGTGTGATGAGCCCATGTAACCACGTGCAGCGAGGCTTTCTCTTAGAAGACAAGAGCTTGTGTAGTGAATCATGTCAGGTGGTGCTGAGCAGGAAGGTGCAGCTTGGCTTTATGGTGTATATAAAGGCATGTGTAAATGCCTAGGTGAGCCCATTGGGAAGGGATGGTAGTGTGAATGAAAGAACCATGGCAGGTTTCTTGTAATACCTGTCATGCTCTAAGCTTTAGCTAAAAAGCTGAGGAGCCTTTTGTGTGCTATTATATAAAACATGTGCTGTAGTGTTAGAAAATTAACTTTTTGTTGGAGGTGGAGTTTTCCTGAAGGAGTGCTTGTATAGGCAATGCCAGGGGAGGAGGCTGCCATCTGATAGTGGCATTGCTTCAGCTGTTACTGATCGCAGTGGGTTTGGAAGACAGTAAAAGTTCTTTCTGTCATGGCACAGGAAATAGTGTGAAGTGTTGAAACTTTCAGCGGGTAAGTCAAGGCGGGGCGTGGGGCTCTGAAGTGCTTCAGTGACAAGGGTTCCCATTGCCTGCTTCTGCAGTCTGCGGAGGGGCAACTGTGTGGAAATCACGTTGAGCACTGGTGGCTTTTGATTGCACTAAAAGGTGCTCCTGGCCTACTTCACCTTACAGGAGTGGGAGACCTGTATGCTGGGATGCTCAAGCCTGGTTCTCTTGCTGCCGGTATTGTAGGTCCCCATCTAGGGTGCTGTTAGTATCCATGACATAACCTGTCTGCCCTGGCAGTTATTAAAATATCAATGTTTGCCTGCTTAAGTGATGCAGACCACAAGTGGTACCAAGTAGGTGGAATAGTTCAGCTTGAGAAGCTCTTTTTTATTTCTCTTTTTCCCCATAAAAGTGGCCATCCCCAGCTGGAGCATGTACAAGTGCAGCACGGCCATGCTTCTGAAGACAGGGGATACAATATTGTATCTCAGCTCTCATTCCACCTACGTGCAACCCGCAATGGTGGAGAGTTGTTGTCAGCCTTCTGAGAGTAGGAGGAACATGGCTATGCAGTGCTTTGCTGGCAATTAGTGTGGAAAAGGAGTAACTTAAGGAGAAAGGTGTTGTAAGGCTGCTGGAGTAACAGGTCTGCAAGGAAGAAGGAATTCTCTCTGGAGGGATCAGAGGAACTTCATCCAGCATGAAGTTAGAGCTCTTTTCACCTGCCCAGGTCAAAAGGACGGGATGGTCGTTTCTGCTGTAGTAGCTTCCTCCTGAGATGTGGAGCTGGATATAATGAGAGGGGACTCTTCTGCTTGATATCGGTGTTGTCTTCTAGAGCATGTGACTCCAAATAGTGTGTTAGTGCTTATCAGGTATCATACATAGAATGGAAAGTCCAGATACTTAAATATGCACTTGATTCATACATAGTTGCTTTCATTGGCTGGCTCAAACCAATAGATGTTATATTTCTTTCAAGATAAGCTTTTAAGTATACGTTTTCCAAGCCACAGTGTGCAGCTGTTCTGCATGTGTCTCTCTCTTGAGTAGCTGGTGATGTAAAAGATCTGCCTGTTAGATCACATACGGGTTTTAACTCTTGATTTGTAATTCCACCCTTCTTCTAGATATTGGTGTTATAACTTTCCAGTGCTGTCAGGAGGGCTCTAGGAATATGTCTAGCATTCAGTCCTTGCTGTAATTCTTGTGAATTAACTGCATTGTTAAAAGATAACTATTTCTTTACCTTTGTGATGCTTCAGATTTCTGGGGGACTGAATGATTTGCATGAAAGACCTAAAAGAAAGGTTTGTCCTAATCCAGGAATTAGAAATACTGATGTTTTACTGAGGCTTGGTGGTGCCCCGTAAAGAACTGAAGACCTCTGCTCCTTGTGCTTTACAACTTCTGCCTTGGATGCACTAATCCTGAATGGTGCAGGGTTGCTGTATCCAGACTGGTGCATTGACTTGCACGTGTGTCAGCTTCCTGTGCCTACTCCTTGTGGGCTGGACGGCAGGCACAGACTACAGCATCCTCTGGTGTCAACTGATCTGGAATGTGGCTGATAAGAGAAACAGCCAAGACTTTGTCCCCTTGCTTTGGGGCGAGCAGGTGAGGATGACAGACAGAACGTACTGATGCCACAGAAATTTAATTGCAAGCTAGAGCATGAGTAGCCCAGACCTGTTCTTCCCCTCGTCTGATGAGTAGGTTCTGCTAGTGTGCAAATGTGGTGAACACCAACTGGCTGTAGTGATTCTGGGAGGTCATGCTGTGGAAGGCCTCAAGTAAGTCCCTGCTGCTCTGAGGTAAAGGGAAGAACAGCCTGTGTTAGCAGGGAAGAAGAGGGCAGAATCTTGCTGAAACCAGTTGTATCTTTCATCCTCAGTTTGTTAAGAAGTGTCTGGATTGTGTGGCTCCAAGCTGGAGGTGCTCTGTTCACCTCCAGTAAGTAGCAGTATGGCCTAGAAGTGAAGCATGGAACTGCAGCACCACAGCATGCAAAGTGAGCTAGGGAGGAAGAGCAGAGCAGGCTCTCTGGAGCATTAGTTGTGATGGATAAGCTATTTCTGGGGTCATTGATGTCCCTTGAAAGCACTGTTTTTAAAGGCTTAACTTTAAAATACAGTTGCTGATTCCTAGCTTTGACTCATCTTCTAAAACACCTCTGACCTAAAGCTTAATGTAAAATCTAGCAAGCATCAGCTGATTTCTCATGTGATAGTGGTGGTAAGCTGTGCAAGAGCTGGAAGGATGCTCAGTAGGTCTGATGGGGGGCAACTGGGTGCTTTGGAGGCATTGTTCTTCCTGATGGTGTTAATGCAGAAAGTAGTGGCACCAAAATAACCTTGGCATGATCCAGTTTGAAGTTTTCCTGATCTGAGTTTGTGTATGTATAGGTGAGGCAGCTGATACCTCTGTAAGAGTGATCCTGTAGGTGGTAGAACCCTTCCAAACTCTGACAAGGGGAGGAAGAAAACCCCAACCTGAGTGGCTCTTATTCTGCCTTGGATTTCAAAAGACTTGAAGCTGGATGGCCCTTTTAAGGTGATATTGTAACTAAACTTCTATAAGCTGCTGTATTCAAGTATTATCACTTCTGAACAAGTTAATACGCTGAACAAGATTCTAGTGGAGTTTAATTTTAGAGCGAGTAGTCTGTTATTTTTCCTCTTGACTGGGAATGAAGTGAAAGGCTCTGAAGCAGCATTGATAGGATAGCTTGGGGGCAGGCTGCTGTACAAGCTGTCAGTCATGCCAGGAATGAAATGTGTCCTCAGTAACACATGCTGATCAATCTGAAGTAGTATCAAATCCCTCTTTTAGAGATATGGAATCAAAAATAGTGAACTGCAAATACTTGAAAGTACAACTTTGCAGTTCAGTGTTAGCTGAAAGAGGACAGAACATCAAAGAAGCCAAGCCTTAGATAAGTACTGTAGGTGAAAAGCAAATCAAGCTGCCTTTTGCCTTGCTCAGCACATCTCGCTGTCATTTTGGGTGTTCATTGTGATTGAGTGACATGATGAAAATGAAGCTGGGTGTGCTGGATGGCTTTCGTCTGAGATGCACATCTAGATGATGCTTTGGCTGACTTGATCAAACTCTTGATCTCCAGTATATGAATAACATGATAGTGGTCAGCTCAAGGGTTTTAGCTAGTTATCGTGTGAAGCATTAGATTTAGTGCTAGCTGGGAAGCCAGAGCTTTGCTTGGAAAATTACTGTCACCTGTGGAATTGGCTTGAAGCTGGAATGAAATCAGGAACTTGGTGTTAGTCCCTGGTCCCTAGGAGAAGCTGGGCTTTTGGGAGGGCAGGGAGGACAGGCCAGCACCCCACTGTGGTGTGTTCTCTGCGGTGAGAGCTGTAAGAGGGAATTCCAAATGTCTGAACCTTGTGAGTGTGGACAGCAGGGCAGGCTGCCACGGGCCTCTGACCTTCCAGAGCATGACCTGGAGACGGTGAAGAGCCATGCAGGAAAGACTTGTGTTCTGACACTTGAGCTTTGATATTGATATTGAACTGTCTGCTTCCTCTCTGTTGTGTATGTTGATCTCGAGCTGTATGTTCTGTTCTCCCCTCCATGTGCTTTTAGTCCAGCTGCTGCTGTGTTTTCTGCAGTGACACTTCACACAAAGTTGGATGGGCCTTCTCCACAGGCTCCTCTAGTGTGGTGGCTGGTGCATGCTGCTGGGGAGAAAAAGTGGAAGCCTTCAGTGTGTGGAGAGCTTAGAAAGCGATTTTGCTTCATGGGCAAGCACCTGAATGTCAGAGCTCTCATAGCACCGTCTTTTTTTTATCTTCTGGCAAAGCTTTAAAACATGAAGCTGTGATTGCGTTTTCACTTGGTTACAGGAAGAATCAATCCAAATGTGCTTTTCTGCCTGCAGGATTAGGTCCCTGGGCTGCTCAGCATTCCTGTTAGACCCTGCGAGATGGAAGCAGGATTTAGGTACTTGCTTTCTTCAGTTGGGGCAGTTCTGCAGGGTATCTTGATCTGCTTTGTCTTGGGTTAATTTCAGACCTAAAGTTATTCTTTACTGTGATTATCTGTAGCAGATGTGCAGGATCTACCCTCTCAGGTCCTTACTGGGAAGAGTATTGAGAAAGATTTGTTTCACTGTGATCTCAGCTTCCTACTTTTCAAGGAAACAATGTTGTCCAAGTGACTTATACAGGTGTGTGCTTCTCTCGTGCTGTCAGTACACTCTTCCTGTGACTTGTACCAAAGGCTCTCTTGTCTGTGGTCTTTCTTACCC